CTTTGCCCCCCACCACCTAAATGTTAACTGAGGAGTCCCAACTTAGGCAGGCCTTGCTTGGGGTAGGAAGGCAATCTCCCCTGGGGAACATCACTCATCTCGTGGCAGTGGCATCACAGGACCCCTCGAGCCAACAGGGGCCTTTCTCTGACTCTTAAATCCCACAGTCCCCTTGCTCCTCCTTCCACAGAGCTACTGTCCACATAGCAATGGTCCACGGGCCTTATCTCCTCAAACCCTATAAACAAAGTGTCACGTGGGACGCTTCAGCGTATGTGGGGATTCCACTGGTCAATTTATATGACAGAGTCACCGGGACACAGTATTTATTACCTTTGGGTGTTATCCTTGGATTAGCAAAAGGGTACATTCTTTATTCTTTTTTACTGGACATGGAGGAACTGCATACACAGTAATGGTGAAATATGTGACTCACCGAATACACATTATGGATAATACCACATATATGGGAACAATATGTAAGGGGGAAGAAAACATTTTTTTCTACTGCAGCTTGTTTTTGTCGATGTATCCATACTCTGCAGTCTGCATGCAACACAGGAAGGACGTGATGAGTTGGAACTGAAGTCCACCTTGACAGCTCTGGGTCTCTTCCATTATAGTGCCTATGGAATCATTGTTCTTTGGGAAGAAAACAGATCTTTCATGGGGAAGAAAACTTTGTTACCAGATACAGTCAGGTCCATAAATATTTGGACATTGACCAAGTTATTATTATTTTAGCTGTCTACCACAGCATATTAGAGTTGAAATTAAATAATGTATATGAGGGTATTTACATCCAAATAAAGTGAATGGTGTAGGAATTACAGCACTTTTTATGTGGTCCCCCCCCCTTTTTAAGTGACCAAAAGTAATTGGACAATTGGCTGCTCAGCTGTTCCATGGCCAGGTGTGTGTTATTTTTTTACTTTTTTTTTGTCATTTTAGCAGACGCTCTTATCCAGAGCGACTTACAGTTAGTGAGTGCATACATATTTTTTTGTTTTTTTCATACTGGCCCCCCGAGGGAATCAAACCCACAACCCTGGCATTGCAAACGCCATGCTCTACCAACTGAGCTACACGGGACCTTATTCCCTCATTAGTTAATTTACAAGTAAGCAGATAAAAGGTCTGGAGTTGATTTCAAGTGTGGCATTGGCATTTGGAATCTGTTGCTGTTAACCCTCAATATGAAGTCCAAAGAGCTGTCACTGCCAGTGAAGCAAGCCATCATTAGGCTGAAAAATCAAAACAAACCCTTCAGAGAGATAGCAAAAACATTAGGTGTGGCCAAATAAACTATTTGGTACATTCTTAAAAAGAAAGAACGCACTGGTGTGCTCAGGAACACCAAAAGGCCTGGAAGACCACGGAAAACAACTGTGATGGATGACAGAATAATTATTTCCCTGGTTAAATAAAAACCCCTTCACAACAGTTGGCCAGATCAAGAACACACTCCAGGAGGTAGGCGTATCTGTGTCAAAGTCAACAATCAAGAGAAGACTTCACCAGAGTAAATACAGAGGTGTAAACCACTGGTAAGCCTCAAACAGGAAGATCAGATTAGAGTTTGCCAAAAAAACATCTAAAAATGCCTGTACAGTTCTGGAACAACATCCTATGGACAGATGACACAAATATCAACTTTAATAACAACCAGAATGATGGGAAGAGAAGAGTATGGAGAAGGGAAGGAACTGCTCATGATCCGAAGCATACCACCTCATCTGTGAAGCATGGTGGAGGTAGTGTTATGGCTGGGCATGTATGTCTGCCAATGGAACTGGTTCCCTTGTATTTATTGATGATGTGACTGCTGACAAAAGCAGCAGGATGAATTCTGAGGTGTTTAGGGCTGTATTATCTTCTCAGATTCAGCCAAATGCTTCAAAACTCATTGGACTGTGCTTCACAGTGCACATGGACAACCCGAAGCATACTGAGAAAGCAACCCAATACTTTTTTAAGGCAAAGAAGTAGAATATGCTGCAATGGGCAAGTCAATCACCTGACCTGAATCCAATTGAGCAAGTATTTCACTTGCTGAAGGCAAAACTGAAGGCAAAACGCTCTAAGAACAAGCAGGAACTGAAGACAGCTGCAGTAAAGGAATGGCAGAGCATCACCAGGGAAGAAACCCAGCATCTGGTGATGTCTATGGGTTCCAGACTTCAGGCAGTCATTGACTGCAAAGGATTTGCAACCAAGTATTAAAACTCACAATTTAATTTATGATTGTTAGTTTGTCCAATTACTTTTGAGACATTAAAATTGGGGGGCTACGTATAAAAATGGTTGTAATTCCTACACGGTTCATACAATAATTTTGACAAATCCCTTAAATTAAAGTTGAAAGTCTACGCTTAAAGTACATCTTGATTGTTTCCTTTCAAATCCATTGTTGTGGCGTACAGAGACAAAATGATGCAAATAGTGTCTCTGTCCAAATACTTATGGATCTGATTGTATGTAATGTCTCTCCAAGGCACTCTGAATACTAATTTGAGGTGGGCCAAGGCCCAAAGCAGTATGTTCCAATACAAAAAATTAAGAATAACATTAGCATGTGTTCAGGTTAATCTTTGCCTTGTAATAAGAATTAATTATACTGTACCTGATTTAGGCTGAATAGTAAGTGTGTGAAATTGCCACCCAATCAATGGCTCCAATTGGCCAATTACCTTGTCAGCAATAAAAGTGAATATGTTCCTTCCGAGTGTTAGCTAATTATCATGTGCACCTGTAAGAGCAGAGCAGCTCCCAGATGTCCGACAACTACAGTATTTCCACCCCCACCCCCTCACTCACTCTCACACGGTCCTTGGATGCGCTTCCCTTTCTCTGTTTCCGTTTTACTTCCTCCCCATGGCTGTGCCTCCAGTGTCTGTGGTAACACTAGACATAGGCCTGATTGCCGGTCCCTGTTGGGAGGGTTCATTCATCAGCAGTGTGACGTGCTGTGCTTAACTGCCATCTGTCAAACACAGAGTGGAGTGGGAGAGGATGGAGAGGTCTGTTTGGGTTCGGCTTGCATGCTGTGGCCCCATATAGGCATACAGTCAAATACAGAACTTTTACAAAGTATTGTAGCTGGACCGCCCATGCATATTGGAATGGTTGTGGATCAAGTTTACTGTACATAGAGTACCAGTCAAAAGTTTGGACACATCTACTCATTCAAGGTTTTTTCTTTATTTTTTTACTATTTTCTACATTGTAGAATAATAGTGAAGACATCAAAACTATTAAATAACACATGGAATCATGTAGTAACCCAAAAAGTGTTAAACAAATCAAAATATATTTTATATTTGAGATTCTTTAAATAGCCACCCTTTACCTTGACAGCTTTGTAAAAATAAAGAAAAAACCTGGAATGAGTAAGTGTGTCCAAGCTTTTGACTGGTAGTGTACATTACTGACATCCTCAATGAATGGTCACATCTGGTTGTTCACATTTAAATGTCACATGAATAATACTGTATTAGATGGGAGATGGGACACTATAGTGTTAGCTCATTAGGTACAAGTTATAGCAGACAGAGTTGCAATCAACATCGGATTTCTACTTCTGACACCATGTATTAATAAGGAGACAGGATACCACAGTGTTAGCTTTAGGAACGTGTATAGTAAGATAAACTGGAAATAGTTACAGAGCATTATGGGTACTGTAGTACATTTCTACAACCACTAACACATCATAGGTCCGTGTTTTTAAAGATTGACAGGTAAATTGTCCTTTTAGCTCCGACAACACTGCAGCTAAGAGAGCGATGCCAATTCAAATCTGAGCTCATCAAGAACTCCTCGTTTTCAATGGAAGTATCAATCAAGTCTGTAAATTCCATCATATAATTACAGAGACACTGAAATGAGTGTGATGGCTAGGATGGCCTCTATTATAGGGTTTTCTCTGTTTTCAGCTTCAGAGGGAAAGGGGGTTTGAAATGAAGCTGTAGTTTTATGTAATATGGGATAGTGTTAGGTTTCATATGTGTTGCTCTCACGAGTCTTGAGTTTATGACGTTGATCTTACGTTTCTATCACTTTGGAACGTTTGAATCAGGCCACAAAAGATAAATAACAAGCTTGAGTTCTCATCCCGTCATAGAGCTGTTTTGTTATGTAAAATAAAATAGACATTGGTTTCAGAGGCCTCCACTCAGCACTTGTAACGGTAGATTAACTGCTCTACATAAGAGATTTGTCTTTTTTACTCAAAATGAACATGACACAGTCGGATGTCTTTTCGATTCGACTTAATCTCTCAGATGTTGTGGATCTGGAGGGGCCCGCCGGTCGCCTTGCACATTCTACAAGGAAACCACAACAGTCCATTATGCTGGGCCCAACCCACTGAAACGCAGACTATTCAACCGGCGAGGGAGCCGCCATCTGGCTTTTAACAAAAATGTCTTACCGGCACAATACCTCCACCCCCACTACCCGTCTTCCCATCCTCCTGTCCTTGGGGACACTGGCCCAGATCGCAGCACCAAGAGTGGCATTCAAAATGTAGTGGGTGTGGGCCCCACTCTGTGGCATCACACAGGGAAACATTATCAGTGTTATTGCCCAGCCACTTCTGGAAATGCCAACATTTGGTTGGATGGGTCATCTGAGAGGGCGGTGGGTGAAGCAGCGCTCACTGCCCGGAGAGGAAAGTTGGGAGATAAAGTGTCTAACTTCCTGGACAATGGAGACTGGTATTTCAACGTTTGCCTTTCAGTGACAATGCTAACATGTGCCGCTAATGACTTCCAAGAGCTCTGTGCCGCATCACGGCAGGTGGCAGTTAATGAACAGATCACTGCAAATGTTCCTTCCCTGGCTATGTCTGTCTAGGCTATACATCTCTATATGGACATTTCCTTTTCTATATATCTACTCATTACTTCATTGCTTCTTCAATGTCAGTTCACTGTAGGATTTATAATCTCCTTGGTAGGTTTGTTCAGTGCTGATGAGGTTTGAATATAACCAAATGAGCCAACACCATTATCTTTATTACCACTTATTTATTTGACCAGGCTTGGCTACATTCAAAGCGACTGATTTCACGAAAGGTATGATTTATTGAAAGGGTGGTACAACCTTACAGCCATCATTTGTTTGAATTTCCATTATTCTAAATACCCAAGTTTAGTCTATCATAATTCAAACTGTATGTTTTGTTACACTAGTGTTGTACCCAATTTACTACGTTCCATATCCATTCCGTTCACAACCATTTGACTCTGCAGCCCATAGATAGTAAATATAACCTTTGGGAGCGCTTTATCGCTACAAGTGTTTTGCTTGGCAAAAGCAGGTTGTTATGTACCTGCTATCGGTCAGGGAAAGGTTAAGCAAACCAGGTGTGACACGCAAAGCAGGGCCGCTGTAGAGGTAAGGGACAGCCCAGTGTGGACGATGTGATATATTTTCCCTCTCAGTTGTGTTAGTCTGATACATCATGCAAGAGACAAATGTACTAATCTCTCATGCCTTGAGGTACACTGCATTGGCCTGTCAAACCAAATGCAATGGATAGAGAACCTATGCCATCTAGTGGGGAGGGTGTCAATAAATTAAGTATTGGAATGCGCCTCTGGGGTGCTCTTGGGCCAAAAGGGGTCACTCCAAATGGACAGAAATATTGTCTGTCCCGAATTTAGCTCATTGGACAGATAAGGCACACCTCCCCTTACCCATGAGAAAATGCATACAGGTTTCATTAGATACATTGATTCATATTATATCATTTAGGTATAAACATTCAAACCAAATATATGTATACAATTAGCAAATAAACTTCCATAGTTCATCTTCCAAATGAAAAAGGACAAACTCACATTTCTGGCATGAAGGCTGAAGAGCTGTTGAATATATATATCTTTTTTTTGGTGCAGTACGCCCTCTGTAGGATGCTAAGTGAAAGGGCAGACATCATACAACCCATCACTATCCTTTTCCCTTCCTCAAATCATTGTCCCTTCGTCACAAAAAGACATTGAAAAACATTTTGATCTAAAATAAATGTATTACTGCAATCAAAACAGATATAGTTGGATGTGTGAAACAATGTCATCATCTCCACAAATCCTTTAGTACATATAGAATACCACGGGACAGTACAAGACACTTCCTCTTGGAAGGTATTCCAAAGCATTTGTTCAGTCCTAAGGCATTTTGGACTAAGGCACTACCCACCTTCAATTTACTATACACACCCCTTGGTAGCTTTAGTCCATGTAAGTTACATTCCTTCACTGGTGTTTCAAAACAGGGAATGCCCAGATATGTTAAATGCAAAACAAACCAGATCAACGGTTAAAAATATACAGAATGGGTTTGTGTGTTACTATTAATATAATTAATTTACAAAACCATCTGATAAAACTGTAGAAAATAAGGCATCTGCTCAAGGCTGGTAAAATGTGGGTCATGCTCATTAGGGCACGCAATGGAATACATTTGTAAATGTTTTGCAATAAAAACAGATTAGCGTTTCTTTTAACACCAGGTAGTGGTAGTCCCTCCCTGTTCATTTTTTTTTCTATTCCGCTTGGTACCTAATGAACACGACTCAGGCTAGGCACTCTGCTCCGTGGGCTCTGTCTGTGGGTCTCTGGAGGAGGAGGGGTGGATCTCTTCCTCACAGCTTAGCCTTAGCCTGGAAGAAGCTCATGATGGCCTGCATGCACTCGTCTGAGAGCCAGCGCTCCACCAGGCGCTCCACCTCCTTGTCGTTGATAGAGTGGAGCCGTTCCTTCTCTGTCCCACGGATCAGCTGCTTGGACAGGGCTAGGGACTAGACAGACAGGAAACAGCAATAGGATGAAAGTAGAGGTACAAAACTGCACTGTCCACAAAATGTGGAAATGTGTCTTTAGTTTCATCATACTTATATATTTGACTGACATAAAATAAAATAAACTTGTTTTGTGTTTTCAAATACAGTGCCCTGTACTCCAGCAATTTGGATGTATGATCAATTGATGTCTGAAGTCCTTTTTTAATGGTATTTTCATGCATAGCAGTTAATTCAATTAGAAATAAAAGCACATTATGTATCTAGTCCACCTTTTTTAGGAAACCATAAGTAGGTTGGTATTTGGTCCCATATCCCGTGCATGCAATAAAGGCATCAAGCCGGCTACTTTATAAACTGTGGATGCATTTAAATTGTGTATTGGTTATGCCTTGCCCAATAGTAAGTGAATGGTACTGCCCAAACGACCGCAATGTCACAGCGGAATCAATGGCTGAATATGAGCTGAAATGGCTGAATATGAGCTGAAATGGCTGGATATGAGCTGAAATGGCTGAATATGAGCTGAAATCTAACTTAGCCTTCATAACATGACAAACAATTATAGGCTCATCTTTTCTACTGTTCTGAAGCAAAACAATCTGTGTTAACCATATTACAACTATAATTTCATTTCCTAGTTGTCTAACTCCCTACCAAATGTGCACATCCTGTAGCCTTGCCACCAGACTATATAGAAATAGTGACGCTTTCCTGTAACATTTTCCCTTCTTATGTTTGTGATTATATAATATTGTGGCCTTGATATACTGCCATATCCTATATTACTGGCACTTCACTAACATTTTGGAATAGTCATTCAAATCACTGCAAACTGTGCTGTTCATCTAATCAGCTGGGACCCTTGAACATTTTTATGAATTTGTGAATGAAATTCAATGTGCAGAATGTGGCTCTGGTCACTTAGAAATAGGAAAAGGAGTCCGTCCAGGGAAGCGCAGCCACAGCCAATAACATAATATAGAATGCAAAATTCCTGGAACGTTCAAAAAGGAAGTTATGTAACATACAACAAACTTTCATCAATATTGATACGTTCCAGGAATGTTAAAATATTTCTGAATACACAACATTACAGCCACAGCCAATAACATAATATAGAATGCAAAATTCCTGGAACGTTCAAAAAGGAAGTTATGTAAAATACACAGCACATCTGAAATTAGCCCACCCAACTACCTCATCCCTATATTGTTATTTATTTTGCTCTTTTGCACCCCAGTATCTCTATTTGCACATCTAGCATTCCAGTGTTAATACTAATTGTAATTATTTTGCACTATAGCCTTACCTCCATAACTTGCTACATTTGCACACACTGTATATATATTTTCTGTTGTATTTTTTTACTTTATGTTTTTTTACCCCATATGTAACTCTGTGTTGTTGTTTTTAATCGCACTGCTTTGCTTTATCTTGGCCAGGTCGCAGTTGTAAATGAGAACTTGTTCTCAACTGGCTTACCTGGTTAAATATATATATTTTTTTTATTACACAAAACACACAAACATTTCAAACGATGTCTGACGTTCAATGTTTGCTGGGGCTTTGACTCACGTTTCTGGGAAGCTTGGCATAGGCCTTCAGTCTGGTGGCCACCTCGGTTTGGAAGCTGCTGTCGGGGAAGACCTCGGTAACCAGGCCCTGGGCACACGCCTGGGCGGCCGTCAGTTTCTTGTTGAACAGCAGCATCTCACTGGCCTAGTCACAGACCATGGCAATGTTGTCCATTAGTGTAATTTCATTCAATTCAAACTGCAAGTCAAATACATACTAATAAAGAACAGAAGTAAAATAAATACATTTAAAAATATTTGATCCATATGTGTAACTTTGCCTTTCTCGTCAATCATGCATTGATGTTGGAAATAGGAAAACTGAGTAGAGAGCTGCCTGGGGAAATCCTTCTATGAAATGCATTAGTTGCAGCAAAGGAACAAGGGGGAGTATCCATACCTTTGCATTACCCATCATTTTGGGGAAGGTGTAGGAGGAGCAGCCCTCTGGGCTCTGTCCCAGCTGGCTGAAGGGGGTGTGGAATGTAGCCTGTCAGGAGGGGGGGGGGGGGGGGGGGGGAAGCACATTAGGCAGGAACACCCCCAACCGCTTACTGCAGAGTATAGTGAAAAATGGAAGTGGAGAATGCCAATGTGGACCTAGTGGTATGGGTGGTGCACTGGTGGTCACAACACCGTTGCTTATTTGACCTCCACTGAGGTATGCATATAAAACAGGGGTCCCCAATGAAGATCCTGGAGAGCTTTTCATCCAGCCCAGTATCAACAGAAGTTTAAGAAAATCAACTAATCATAGTCTAGTTGTTAGTGCTGGTGGACAGGATCAAAGGCATGGACACCCAGTATCTTTCCAGGACTGGAGTTGGATACCCCTAATATAATCCAACGCTAATCTTGTATTATCAACTAACAGACATATATATAGAGAGACGATATAAATGTGTTCTAAGCCAACACTGAGTGGACATGACAAAGCACCTTACCCTCTCTGTGGCGTAGACCACCTCAAACAGGCCCAATAGCGTGACGGACACGCCCACAGCCGGACCGTTGATCACCGCAATCAGGGGCTTGGGGAAGTCGATGAACGCTTTGACAAACTCCCTGCACACACACACACACACACACACACACACACACACACACACACACACACACACACACACACACACACACACACACACACACACACACACACACACACACACACACACACACACACACACACACACACACACACACACACACACACAACACACACACACACACACACACACACACACACACACACACACACACACACACACACACACACACACTATGAAAATGCTTATCTCAAAGTAAACTCTCGCCTGCTCCTTTTGGGTAAGTACTTACCTCAGCAACTCGCCTGCATCTTTTGCCATCTGCTGCATCCCGCCCTCAGGGATTTTGGTGAAGTTTGTCAGGTCGTTGCCACTGCAGTAGAAGTCTCCACTACCTTGAGGGGGTGAACAAGAACTGCCACATGAAGCAGTTAAGAAGACTGGAACAGGGCAATACGATTTGACTTGCAAGTCACTGCATCACTGTAAAGCCTTAAAGGGGCAATTCAAACAATAAAGTTGGTCACCAGGCCACCGTTTCGGTAAAAATCCAGCTATGAATGCAAAGACTGTCCATCCATGATATCAATTTCCAACATTTAACCATGTTTTAAGGCTATATAGTGTTTGTTTACAATTACATTGTTTACAACTTATTAGTTGAACTAAGCTCATGAGGCATTTCTAAGTTATATTTTTCAAGACTCAATGGCTATATTTAATTAATTTAAAAGTCCAAAAATGTATGTAGCAATCACAGATTGCCCCATTTAAAGGTCTAAAGCTGGGGTGGGGTGTCAAACTCATTCCATGGAGGGCCTAGCATCTGCTGTTTTTTTTGTGTTTTTTTTTCTCCTTTCAGTTAAGACCTAGACAACCATGTGAGGAGAGTTACTTCCTAATCAGTGACCTTAATTCATAAGTCAAGTACAAGGTAGGAGAGAAAACCCGCAGACACATGGCCCTCCGTGGAATGAGTTTGACACCTGTGGACTAAAGAAAGAAAAGCCCACACACAGTATGTTGCTCCCACATGCTTCTTTTCATGCACCATAATAAACTGTGTGTAATATCCTGTGTTCTGGCTTTTCTTTAGTCCTAGTGTTAATTTGTGGCCCAGCAGTGCATACAGTATTCAGACCCCTTGACTTTTTACACATTTTGTTAAGTTACAGACTTATTCTAAAATGTATTAAATTGTTATTTTTCCCTCATCAACCTACACAGAATACCCCATAATAACAAAGCAAAAACAGGTTTGTAGAAATGTTTGCTAATATATTACAAATAAAAAACAAGACACCTTATTTACATAAGTATTCAGACCCTTTGCTATGAGACTCGAAATTGAGCTCAGGTGCATCCTGTTTCCATTGATCATCCTTGAGATGTTTCTACAACTTGATTGAAGTCCACCTGTGGTAAATTCAATTGATTGGACATGATTTGGAAAGGCACACACCTGTCTATATAAGGTCCCACAGTTGACAGTGCACATCAGAGCAAAATCCAAGACATGAGGTTAAAGGAATTGTCTGTAGAGCACCGAGACAGGATTGTGTAGAGGCACAGGTCTGGGGAATGGTACCAAAAATTCTGCAGCATTGAAGGTCCCCAAGAACACAGTGGCCTCCATCATTCTTAAATGGAAGAAGTTTGGAACCACCAAGACTCTTCCTAGAGCTGGCCGCCCAGCCAAACTGAATATCACATTTACATAAGTATTCAGACCCTTTACTCAGTACTTTGTTGAAGCACCTATGGCAGCGATTACAGCCTCAAGTCTTCTTGGGTATGAAGCTACAAGCTTGGCACACTTGTATTTTGGTAGTTTCTCCCATTCGTCTCTGCAGATCCTCTCAAGCTCGGTCAGGTTGGATTGGGAGCGTTGCTTCACAGCTATTTTCAGGTCTCTCCAGAGATGTTCGATCGTGTTCAAATCGGAGACTTGTCCCGAAGCCACTCTTGCATTGTCTTGGCTTTGTGTTTATGGTTGTTGTCCTGTTGGAAGGTGAATCTTCGCCCCAGTCTGAGGTCCTGAGCGCTCTGGAGCAGGTTTTCATTAAAGATCTCTCTGTACTTTGCTCTTTTCATCATTGCCTCGATCCTGCCTAGTCTCCCAGTCACTGCCGCTGAAAAACATCCCCACAGTATGATGCTGCCACCACTATGCTTCACCGTAGGGATGGTGGCAGGTTTCCTCCAGACGTGACGCTTGGCATTCCGGACAAAGAGAATCTTGTTTCTCATTGTCTAAGAGTCATTCAGGTGCCTTTTGGCAAACTCCAAGGGGGCTGTCGTGCCTTTCACTGAGGAGTGGCTTCCATCTGGCCACTCTACTAGAAAGGCCTGATTGGTGGAGTGCTGCAGAGATGGTTGTCCTTTTGGAAAGTTCTTCCATCTCCACAGAGGAACTCTAGAGCTCTGTCAGAGTGACCATTGGGTTCTTGGTCACCTCCCTGACCAAGGCCCTTCTCCCCCAATTGCTCAGGTTGGTCAGAGGCTACTGTGTTCTTGTGGACCATCAATGCTGCAGAAATTTTTTGGTACCCTTCCCCAGATCTGTGCCGTGACACAATCCTGTCTCGGAGCTCTACGGACAATTCCTTCGACCTCATGGCTTGGTTTTTGCTCAGACATGCACTGTCAACTGTGGGACCTTATATAGACAGGTGCGTGCCTTTCCAAATCATGTCCAATGAATTTAATTTAACACAGGTGGACTTCAATCAAGTTGTAGAAACATCTCAAGGATGATCAATGGAAACAGGATGCACCTGAGCTCAATTTCGAATCTCATAGCAAAGGGTCTGAATACTTATGTAAATAAGGTATTTCTGTTGCTTATTTTAAATAAATTAGCAAAGATCTGTAAAAACCTGTTTTCGCTTTTTCATTATGGGGTATTGTGTGTATATTGCTGAAGATTATAAAACATTTTTAAATCCATTTTAGAATAAGTCTATAACGTACCAAAATGTGGAAAAAGTCAAGGAGTCAGAATACTTTCCGAAGGCACTGTATGTGACCATTTAAACGTAAACTTCTTTTTAAAAATCTAAATGCATTTTTTGCAGAAATGCCTTCTGGAACATGTGAACTGTCATGTGCCTTAATAACAAACTTGTGTGCCATCTGTAAGCATGAATAAAATGGTTAAATTACGAGCCTAGTTGGTTTAGCCATGGAAAAAGACAGCAACCTTCCCGCTAGCCATGATTGGCTGAGATAATGAGTGGGTTGGACATGCCGAGAGATTAGTTCGGATTGGTATGCCATGTAGCATGCTTCTGTCTATAATATAAGCTGGTCAATATGTGTAGGCAATCCTTTCTAACGCGCCTTTTTTGAAAGATATCACATACAGTGAGGGAAAAAAGTATTTGATCCCCTGCTGATTTTGTACGTTTGCCCACTGACAAAGACATGATCAGTCTATCATTTTAATGGTAGGTTTATTTGAATAGTGAGAGACAGAATAACAACAAAAAAATCCAGAAAAACCCATGTCAAAAATGTTATAAATGATTTGCATTTTAATGAGGGAAATAAGTATTTGACCCCTCTGCAAAACATGACTTAGTACTTGGTGACAAAACCCTTGTTGGCAATCACAGAGGTCAGACGTTTCTTGTAGTTGGCCACCAGGTTTGCACACATCTCAGGAGGGATTTTGTCCCACTCCTCTTTGCAGCTCTTCTCCAAGTCATTAAGGTTTCGAGGATGACGTTTGGCAACTCGAACCTTCAGCTCCCTCCACAGATTTTCTATGGGATTAAGGTCTGGAGACTGGCTAGGCCACTCCAGGACCTTAATGTGCTTCTTCTTGAGCCACTCCTTTGTTGCCTTGGCCGTGTGTTTTGGGTCATTGTCATGCTGGAATACCCATCCACAACCCATTTTCAATGCCCTGGCTGAGGGAAGGAGGTTCTCACCCAAGATTTGATGGTATATGGCCCCGTCCATCGTCCCGTTGATGCGGTGAAGTTGTCCTGTCCCCTTAGCAGAAAAACACCCCCAAAGCATAACGTTTCCACCTCCATGTTTGACGGTGGGGATGGTGTTCTTGGGGTCATAGGCAGCATTCCTCCACCTCCAAACACGGCGAGTTGAGTTGTTGCCAAAGAGCTCCATTTTGGTCTCAACTGACCACAACACTTTCACCCAGTTCTCCTCTGAATCATTCAGATGTTCATTGGAAAACTTCAGACGGGCGTGTATATGTGCTTTCTTGAGCAGGGGGACCTTGCGGGCGCTGCAGGATTTCAGTCCTTCACGGCGTAGTGTGTTACCAATAGTTTTCTTGGTGACTATGGTCCCAGCTGCCTTGAGATCATTGACAAGATCCTCCCGTGTAGTTCTGGGCTGATTCCTCACCATTCCAGCCTTGTGTAGGTCTACAATCTTGTCCCTGACATTCTTGGAGAGCTCTTTGGTCTTGGCCATGGTGGAGAGTTTGGAATCTGATTGATTGATTGCTTCTGTGGACAGGTGTCTTTTATACAGGTAACAAACTGAGATTAGGAGCACTCCCTTTAAGAGTGTGCTCCTAATCTCAGCTCGTTACCTGTATAAAAGACACCTGGGAGCCAGAAATCTTTCTGATTGAGAGGGGGTCAAATACTTATTTCCCTCATTAGAATGCAAATCAATTTCAAAATTTTTTGACATGGGTTTTTCTGGATTTTGTTGTTGTTATTCTGTCTCTCACTGTTCGAATAAACCTACCATTAAAATTATAGACAGATCATTTCTTTGTCAGTGGGCAAACGTACAAAATCAGCAGGGGATCAAATACTTTTTTCCCCTCACTGTAGTAGAACTGCATAAGTGTTGCTCTCGACTTTCTGGAGGGCCGAGTTTTGAAATCAGTGGAATTAGAGTATGATAGCTAAGGAGATGGAGAAAATTCTGGCGTTTGATTGCAAATATGCAGATGGAGTCGAAAAGAGAACACACAGAAGGCTGTTGTATAAAACACCCGTCTCCGGATTACATCTTCAAACTAAGGGCAACCATGGCATCTGTGACAGAGAGGGAGAAGCTTCCATCCATGTATATGGGTAAGATAGTCTAGCTAGCTACATTTTCAGATATTACAAGTTTCTAATTTTGTTAGAAAGTCGTTTCATTTCATGTTAAAGTTTACGGTTAGCTAGCTAGCTAACGTTAGCTGGCTGGCTAGCTAGCTAACGTTACGTGTATGATCTGTGTAGTAATAGTATTCATATCTCAGAGCCATTTGCATTGCTAGCTATAGCCTAATGTTAGCTAGCTAACATTGAACCTGTTTGGATAGTTACCTGCAGATTCATGCAGGGTAGTAACATCATGAGTTGGGATTACGGTTCATTGTTTAGATGGCTAGCTACATAACATGTCTAAACAAAAGACTCCATTATGCAAGTAACTATTTCAATAGAATGTTTATGATGTCACTGCGACAACTGTCGTTAGACGTAGCTAGTATATTCGCTCTGGCAATCTAGTCCGATTTCAGAGCACTCGTCTGAGTGTGCCAGAGAGCAGAATAACTGATGAATTTACAAACGTTCAACACCCGTTGAATATGGCCGGTGTCAGTAAATGTCGGCAAAAAAGCGTAATTAAATTGTTGCCAGCAGCACAGTTAGTCACCAACGCTCTGGATAACATGAACACAGCCTAACCAGCTCTGCTAGGGCAAGTAAAATGGTCAGAGTGAGGTGTTCTCTCATTCATGTCTAGAAGTAGCTAGCAAGCTAACTAAATTTTGTTAGGTCAGAACGCTCTGATCAACCCTACTTTTCGTCCAGAGCGTCCAGTGGGCGCTCTGAACGCTCCGAGAGTGAAACACTCTGAATTTACGAACGCCCAGAGCACATAGCCTCACATGTGAATCCTTAAACGAGACGGGTGGGGCTAAAGCTTAAAAGGGTGTGAATGATGCTGAATGGGTGTAGACAAAGAAGAGCGCTCCAGTAAGTACCAACACATTCAAGGGCCATTTTCTCAAAAGTGAGGTTACAAGTTTATCAACTTTCAAAGCAGAATTACTTTCCCGTTGTTCCTCAACTGTAGTGTATGATATACAATTTTCTACCTCTGAGTCTCTACTTCTATCCAATGTTGAAAAAATAAATACAAATAACACCATTTTAAATATTGCTGTATAAGACCGAATCGAGCCGGTCGGTCACATATTCATATCACCGATACTCTCTTTAATGCATTCATTATTTCAATGGGAGGAATAGGTTGGTTGGCTCTACCTGTGATTACAGTAATGACAGAGTCATCTTTGCCAGCTTCATCCAGCGCTTTGATGATCTCGTTGTACATCTGGATAGAAGGAGGAAAACAATAGAATTGAAGAACTGGATGATTACTGGATATTTGGGATGTGCATAGGCAGTTTGTAATGTCTGCTAAATGGCATATTATTATTATTATTATTATTTTATTTTTTTCACTATTACAAGGCATTTCCACATTTAAAAAAAACATACCACAACATGTATTACACTTTGCCTTAGGACACAGGACTATGTATTTACATGGTGGTTAAATAGGAAGGTAGACATGGTTCCACATAGTTATGTAGTACTTATCTACAAAATATGTTTAATGTTTACACTGCCCTGACAAAAATGAATTTCCTGCAAGTTTGAGGCAAATTTGCTGCAAACTAAATAGTGTGCCACAAAATGTTGCCAGAAGTTTGAAAATGTTTGCCACTGGTGAATCTGCGGCAAACCTTTGGCAACAATATTTATTGCCACTAGTGGCAAACAGTTTACCAGAAGCCATTTATGGTAGACGCGAGTTCCAAGACCAGTAACCGTTGATGACCAGTCAGTGGGAGAAGAAAAATCTGTTGGAAAATGGAAACTAAGCTATCTAGCTACTTAACGAAGTTGTCCGGTGAGTGTCTAACTTAATTAAACTTCCTAATATACTTAAAAATTATGTTTGCTAATTGATGCCTAGTTAGCAATGTTATGCTTTATGGGATAGAGTGAAACACATTTTGTTATCAGTTTCAATCTGTCAGTGCCACTGACTGGCTAGCGCTTAGCTAGCTAACATTAGCTATCATATTTTTGCACAATTAATATGATAGCTAGCTATCGAACTAATGATTTGCCTAAAAATGTTTAGGTGAATACGTTGCTGTCTTTTAATAACAATATGCATTTCAATATGCTAGTGTCACAGTTCAGTAACATGTTAGCTAGCACAACAGCTAAGGTAGCAACAATATTAGCTGATTTGACAAAGCGAAACTTCACTTTTGCAGATGGATACCCTTCCCCTAACCGTGGTGTTGGAAGAGGATGCATCATTTACATTACATTACATTTTAGTAATTTAGCAGACGCTCTTATCCAGAGTGACTTACAGTTAGTGAATACATATTTTTTTTTATACTGGCCCCCCGTGGGAAACGAACCCACAACCCTGGCGTTGCAAATGCCATGCTCTATCAACTGAGCTACATCCCTGCCGGCCATTCCCTCCCCAACCCTGGACGACGCTGGGCCAATTGTGCGCCGCCCATGAGTCTCCCGGTCGCGGCCGGTGGCGACAGAGCCTGGATTCGAACCAGGATCTCTAGTGGCACAGTTAGCACTGCGATGCAGTGCCTTAGACCACTGCGCCACTCAGTGAAAATGAGTGTATTGACTTCAAACTTGATAAGGTAAGCAAACGCATGTATTATCATAAATGTAGCCTACCGGTATACATTCCTTCTTTGTAACAATTAGATCTTTCATTGTTTTAAACTAGTAGCTAGCTCATCTTGTTCATGTGTTGTTCCTTCTCTCTTTCTTTCTAGAAGCAAATCAAGACAGATTGAAGCCTTCAATCAAACTAAGGAAAGAGAAATGTGTGCACCAGGTCAAGGTTTCTTGCATGGCTTTGAGATGTAAGTTAACTATAATTCATTTTAGAAAAATATACACCAGAGTGAGGAAAAATAGCCATCTAGTAGACAACTTGCTCTTACATTATGGAGTCCCCAGTCTATATTGAAGATCATAATTAGTTGATAAGTTTCAATCAAATTTGTTAAGGCTTGGCTGATGAAAACGTTTGTATATTGTGGCTCTATACGAACAGTTGGCCACACATTTAAAAGGTAGATTTAGTAGGCCTAAGTCCCAATTTATGCTAGCTACATTGTTTGTTTATATAGCATTTATACAAGGCAGAGACATTTTCTTGCTGAAAAATATATACACTACATGACCAAAAGTATGAGGACACTAGGGCTGTTACGGTGACCGGTGGTCACGAGTCATGACGGCAGTCAAATTCCACGTGACCGTTTAGTCACGGTAATTAGCCTTCTCCAAGCTCTGATGCTGCTGTTGGTCATTAGTAGCCTACCAAACAAGTGCTTGTCAAATTGTGAATGAGAGACTAATGAAGTGTGTACAACCTGCGCAAAAAACAAAGCAGAGCTCATGCCTTTCATGCGACTTGTTTCAGCCTTAGAATGTATAAAAAATCTAAACTATATAGGCCAACACTTGTATCACAACTAAAGTTACAGAAATAACTCTAAATTAAGCATATAGGAGTACCTGTTTCTTTGTTAACAGCTCAACACAGAATAGCCGCATGTGTGCACTCCCTCAAATCCTTTGGAGAAAATAGTTGAATAAAATAGAAAATATGTTCCATTTTATTCTTCACACTATAAAATAATGCCACGGAATTCTAAGCAAATCTTGTCTGCTAAATGAACTAGTTTAGCCCACAGCCATATGGCATAGCCAGATCAGGACCTAACATAAGGACAACGCAGAGTTTACTATTATGTTCTTCTGAAATAGACTACATATTCTTCATATCCTGTTTTTTTTTTTTGACCTGTCTAAAATAAATAATGGATTTATTGTGATGGAGTAGGCTATATTACACGGATTTATTCGACTTTTTTAAATGTAGATGTTCCAAAAGGTCTGCATCAGTGGCTTGTAGGCTATGCGTGGAAGCCAGGAGATTCTAAATGTGTTTGTTAATTAACGGTCAATTACCATGAGACCGGCAGTTATTTGCTTGACAATCACCGGCTGGCAAAATTTCATGACCGCCACAGCCTTAGTGGACACCTGCTCGTCGAACATGTTATTCCAAAATTATGGGCATAAATATGGAGTTTGTCCCCCCTTGACTGCTATAAATGCCTTCACTCTTCTGGGAAGGCTTTCCAATAGATGTTGGAACATTGCTGCGGGGACTTGCTTCCATTCAGCCACAAGAGCATTAGTTAGGTCGGGCACTGATGTTGGGCGATTAGGCCTGGCTCGCAGTCGGCATTCCAATTCTTCCCAAAAGGTGTTCGATGGGGTTGAGGTCAGGGCTCTGTGCAGGCCAGTCAAGTTCTTCCACACCGATCTCAACAAACCATTTCTGTATGGACCTTGCTTTGTGCACGGGGGCATTGTCATGCTGAAACAGGAAAGGGCCTTCCCCAAACTGTTGCCACAAAGTTGGAAGCACAGAATCGTCTAGAATGTCATTGTATGCTATAGCGCTAAGATTTCCCTTCACTGGAACTAAGGGGCCTAGCCCTACCCATGAAAAACAGACCCAGACCATTATTCCTCCTCCACCAAACTTTACAGTTGGTACAATGCATTCGGGCAGGTAGCGTTCTCCTGGCATCCGCCAAACCCAGATTTGTCCGTCGGACTGCCAGATGGTGAAGCGTGATTTATCACTCCAGAGAACGTGTTTCCACTGCTCCAGAGTCCAATGTCGGCAAGCTTTACACCACTCCAGCTGACGCTTGGCATTGCGCATGGTGATCTTAGGCTTGTGAAGCTCCCGACGAACAGTTCTTGTGCTGATGTTGCTTCCAGAGGCAGTTTAGAACTCGTAGTGAGTTTTGCAACCGAGGACAGGCAATTTTACGCTCTACACGCTTCAGCGGTCCCGTTCTTTGAGCTTGTGTGGCCTACCACTTCGCGGCTGAGACGTTGTTGCTCCTAGACGTTTCCACTTCACAAAAACAGCACTTACAGTTGACCAGGGCAGCTCAACTGACTTGTTGGAAAGGTGGCATCCCATGACGGTACCACATTAAAAGTCACTGAGCTCTTCAATAAGGCCATTCTACTGCCAATGTTTGTCTATGGATATTGCATGGCTGTGTGCTTGATTTTGTATAATTCCATATGTGATTTCAGCAACGGGTGTGGCTGAAATAGCCGAATCCACTAATTTGAAGGGGTGTCCACATACAGTACCAGTCAAAAGTTTGGACACAACTACTCATTGAAGGGTTTCTTATTTTTACTATTTTCTACATTGTAGAATAATAGTGATGACATCAAAAACTATGAAATAACACATATGGAATTATGTAGTAACCAAAAAAGTGTTAAACAATTCAAAATATATTTTATATTTAAGATTCTTCAAATAGCCACCCTTTGCCTTGATGACAGCTTTGCACACTCTTGGCATTCTCTCAACCAGCTTCATGAGGTAGTCACCTGGAACACATTTCAATTAACAGGTGTGCCTTGTTAAAAGTTAATTCCTGGATGCGTTCTTAATTCGTTTGAGCCAATCAGTTGGGTTGTGACAAGGTAGGGGTGGTATACAGAAGATAGCCCTATTTGGTAAAAGACCAAGTCCATATTATGGCAAGAACAGATCAAATAAGCAAAGAGAAACGACAATCTATCATTACTTTAAGACGAAGGTCAGTCAATCTGGAAAATGTCAAGAACTTTAAAAGTTTATTCAAGTGCAGTCGCAAAAACCATCAAGCGCTATGATGAAACTGGCTCTCATTTGGACTGCCACAGGAAAGGAAGACCCAGTTACCTCTGCTGCAGAGGATAATTTCCTTAGAGTTAACTGCACCTTCGATTGCAGCCCAAAAACATGCTTCAGAGTTCAAGTCACAGACACATCTCAACATCAACTTTTCAGAGGAGACTGCGTGAATCAGACGTTGATGGTCGAATTGCTGCAAATAAACCACTACTAAAGGACACCAATGAGAAGAAGAGACTTGCTTGGGCCAAGAAACACAAGCAATGGACATTAGACTGGTGGAAATCTGTCCTTTGGTCTGATGAGTCCAAATTTGAGATTAATGGTTCCAACCGCTGTGTCTTTGTGAGACGCAGAGTAGGTGAATGGATGATCTCCGCATGTGTGGTTCCCACCGTGAAGCATGGAGGATCAAATCAAATTTTAATTGTCACCTGCGCCGAATATAACAGGCGTACACCTTACAGTGAAATCTTACTTACAAGCCCTTAACCAACAATGCAGTTTTAAGAAAGAACACCCCTCCCCCAAAAAATAAAATAATACGAGATAAAAGTAACAAATAATTAAAGAGCAGCAGTAAAATAACAATAGGCTATATACAGGGGGTACCGGTACCGAGTCAATGTGCGGGGGCACCGGTTAGTCGAGGTAATATGTACAGTCGTGGTCAAACGTTTTCAGAATGACACAAATACTAATTTTCACAAAGTCTGCTGCCTCAGTTTTGATGATGGCAATTTGCATATACTCCAGAATGTCATGAAGAGTGATAAGATGAAATGCAATTAATTGCCCTCTTTGCCATGAAAATGAACTTAATCCCAAAAAAACATTTCCACTGCATTTCAGCCCTGCCACAAAAGGACCAGCTGCCATCATGTCAGTGATTCTCTCGTTAACACAGGTGAGTGTTGACGAGGACAAGGCTGGAGATCACTCTGTCATGCTGATTGAGTTAGAATAACAGACTAGAAGCTTTAAAAGGAGGGTGGTGCTTGAAATCATTGTTCTTCCTCTGTTAACCATGGTTACCTGCAAGGAAACACGTGCCGTCATCATTGCTATGCACAAAAAGGGCTTCACAGGCAAGGATATTGCTGCTAGTAAGATTGCACCTAAATCAACCATTTATCGGATCATCAAGAACGTCAAGGACAGAGGTTCAATTGTTGTGAAGAAGGCGTCAGGGCACCCAAGAAAGTCCAGCAAGCGCCAGGACCGTCTCCTAAAGTTGATTCAGCTGCGGGACCGGGGCACCACCAGTGCAGAGCTTGCTCAGGAATGGCAGCAGGCAGGTGTGAGTGGATCTGCACGCACAGTGAGGCGAAGGCTTTTGGAGGATGGCCTGGTGTCAAGAAGGGCAGCGAGGAAGCCACTTCTCTCCAGGAAAAACATCAGGGACAGACTGATATTCTGCAAAAGGTACAGGGATTGGACTGCTGAGGACTGGGGTAAAGTCATTTTCTCTGATGAATCCCCTTTCCGATTGTTTGGGGCATCTGGAAATCACCTTGAAGACAAGGTGAGCGCTACCATCAGTCCTGTGTCATGCCAACAGTAAAGCATCCTGATACCATTCATGTGTGGGGTTGCTTCTCAGCCAAGGGAGTGGGCTCACTCACAATTCTGCCTAAGAACACAGCCATGAATAAAGAATGGTACCAACACATCCTCCGAGAGCAACTTCTCCCAACCATCCAAGAACAGTTTGGTGACGACCAATGCCTTTTCCAGCATGATGGAGCACCTTGCCATAAGGCAAAAGTGATAACTAAGTGGCTCTGGGAACAAAACATCGAAATTTTGGGTCCATGGCCAGGAAACTCCCCAGACCTTAATCCCATTGAGAACTTGTGGTCGATCCTCAAGAGGCGAGTGGACAAACAAATACCCACAAATTCTGACAAACTCCAAGCATTGATTATGCAAGATTGGGCTGCCATCAGTCAGGATGTGGCCCAGTAGTTATTTGACAGCATGCCAGGGCGGATTACAGAGGACTTGAAAAAGAAGGGTCAACACTGCAAATATTGACTCTTTGCATAAACTTAATGTAATTGTCAATAAAAGCCTTTGACACTTATGGAATGCTTGTAATTATACTTCAGTATACCATAGTAACATCTGACAAAAGTTTATCATAACACTGAAGCAGCGAACTTTGTGAAGACCAATACTTGGGTCATTCTCAAAACTTTTGACCACAACTATATTTTGCAAATGCACTGTACATAAACACATTGACTACAAAAGGAAAACCAGCCACGTCACTGACACCGACGTCTCGCTTCCAGACAAGCTAAACACCTTCTTCGCCCGCTTTGAGGATAACACAGTGCCACCGACGAGGCCCACTACCAAGGACTGTGGCCTCTCCTTCTCTGTGGCCGAAAGGAGTAAGACATTTAAGCATGTTAGGTAAGAATTATTAAAGTGACTATACTTAGATAATAAACAGAGATTAGTAGCAGCGTAGAAGGCGGGGGGGAGGGGGGGCAATGCAAAAAGTCTGGGTAGCCATTTGATTAGATGTTCAAGAGTCTTATGGCTTGGGGGTAGAAGCTGTTTAGAAGCCTCTTTGACCTAGACTTGGTGCTCCGATACCGCTTGCCGTGCGGTAGCAGAGAGAACAGTCTATGACTAAGGTGGCTGGAGTCTTTGACAATTTTTAGGGCCTTCCTCTGACACCGCCTGGTATAGAGGTCCTGGATGGCAGGAAGCTTGGCCCCAGTGATGTACTGGGCCGTATGCACTACCCTCTGTAGTGCCTTGCGGTCGGAGGCCGAGCAGTTGCCATACCAGGCAGTGATGCAACCAGTCAGGATGCTCTCGATGGTGCAGCTATAGAACCTTTTGAGGATCTGAGGACCCATGCCAAATCTTTTCAGTCTCCTTAGGGGGAATAGGTTTTGTCGTGCCCTCTTCACGACTGTCTTGGTGTGCTTGGACAGTGTTAGTTTGTTGGTAATGTGGACACCAAGGAACTTGAAGCTCTCAACCTGCTCCACTACAGCCCCGTCGATGATATTGGGGGCGTGCTCGGTCCTCTTCTTTTTCCTGTAGTCCACAATCATCTCCTTTGTCTTGATCACGTTGAGGGAGTGGTTGTTGTCCTTGCACCACACGGCCAGGTCTATGACCTCCTCCCTATAGGAGGTGTTTAGTCCCAGGGTCCTTAGCTTAGTGATGAGCTTTGAGGGCACTATGGTGTTGAACGCTGAGCTGTAGTCAATGAATAGCATTCTCATATAGGTGTTCCTTTTGTCCAGGTGTGAAAGGGCAGTGTGGAGCGCAATAGAGATTGCATCATCTGTGGATCTGTTGGGGCGGTATGCAAATTGGAGTGGGTCTAGGATTTCTGGGATAATGGTGTTGATGTGAGCCATGACCAGCCTTTCAAAGCACTTCATGGCTACATACGCGAGTGCTACGGGTCGGTAGTCATTTAGGCAGGTTACCTTAGTGTTCTTGGACACAGGGACTATGGTGGTCTGCTTGAAACATGTTGGTATTACAGACTCAGACAGGGAGAGGTTGAAAATGTCAGTGAATACACTTGCCAGTTGGTCAGCGCATGCTCGGAGTACATGTCCTGGTAATCCGTCTGGCCCTGCGGCCTTCTGAATGTTGACCTATTGAAAAGGTCTTACTCATATCGGCTACGGAGAGCGTGATCACACAGTCGTCCGGAACAGCTGATGCTCTCATGCATGTTTCAGTATTACTTGCCTCGAAGCGAGCATAGAAGTAATTTAGCTCGTCTGGTAGGCTCGTGTCACTGGGCAGCTCGCGGTTGTGCTTCCCTTTGTAGTCTGTAATAGTTTGCAAGCCCTGCCACATCCGACGAGCGTCATAGCCGGTGTAGTACGATTCGATCTTAGTCCTGCATTGACGCTTTGCCTGCTTGATGGTTCGTCGGTGCAGCTGTCACCAGCAAAGCACCAAAGGTGTGATGGTGCTTTGCTGGTGACACTGTCTGTGATTGATTTAGAATTCAAGGCACACTTAAACAGCATGGCTACCACAGCATTCTGCAGCGAAACACCATCCCATCTGGTTTGCGCTTAGTGGGACTATCATTTGTTTTTCAACAGGACAATGACCAACACACCTCCAGGCTGTATAGACAATGACACTAATGCCTATTAATTTAAATCGATGTACCTCCACAGTGATGGCGTTCTTCTTCTGTGGCCTATTGAGCCGAATAGTGGTGACGTTGTCCTCTGTGGAGACCAGCAGCGTGTCAAAGGTGGCAGTGCTCCCAGAGGGCTGTGTGGCTACCGCAGGACCCTCAGCAGCCAGGAGAGAGTCAATCAGGTCCACATACTGCTGTCTGGCATCTTCCTGAGAGGAAGGAATAAAGAGATATACAATGTATCAATTTATGTCTGTCAATGTCATTGTGTGAAGACAATGGCACTTTACTACATTGAGGACATTGTAGTTTGTGTTTTTTATGGGCTCTGAAAATTGTGACATTTAATAAGAATGGCTGATCCTAATTTGTTTTTAATATTATAACCTTGTGAGCAAGGTGTTTGACCTTGCTCACAAGTCGTGTATTTTTGTCTGTTGTTTTTAACAAACTTGGGAGGAATAGCCTTGATAAACAAATGGGTATATTGCTCCAGAGCTTTTGTATAATTTCAGCAAGTAGTTTTGAAAGTAGTGCTCACGAGCCAAAACGGGTACCCGAAAAGTGTAAAGTTGTGTACTACATCATCCATTTCGTATGATATGTTACGTCCTGCAAAAAATAAAAAAAATTACATGTTTTGCAATTTGTATACGTTACGAACTTATAAGTGCTTAAGATCCCAGACTGCATCTTTAATAAAATGTGTATGACAGTGCTGTTATGTATATGCAATAATGGACTGCAGATTACCTGAGATCCAGAGCCCAGAGACTTCCAGGCATCCCATTTGGCCTTGCCGACAAAGTCAAGCATCCCTGGCTTGGGGGTGTTACAGGGTCCCTGAGTGGCCTAATAAGACAACAAAGAGAGAAGAGACGATACTAAAATGAGAGGATCGGTGTCTCCAATAGACTTTAAGGGCTTTCCTCATCCTGTCGCCTTCATGCACTCTGATAGGTTAAGAATCTAGGTCATTGTCATTAGGTCTCAAATGGAAGAAAACAGACTGAAACAGGGAGGGACTACCTGGACTTGTCCAATAAGAAACAGCCCTGGATAGCTTTACAACCGTTACAACAGATCTTTATTTATCTACTGTACAATGGAAACTTGTCTTTTTTCCTGACACAGCATCCAACATGCAAAAATCTTCAGAGACATGACAGCCAAGTAGCTAAGAACAAATAACAATGACCTCTCACCTGTTTGAAGAGAGCATAGATTTTCAGCTTGGCCTCATTGCCAGGGTCTTTCTTCAGCATGCCCATCTGACTCTTGGCATGGTTGAATTGCTCCACCGTCGCCCCCATCATAGAACCAGTTGTGTGCAGCTTCAGAGTGGGAATTTGTGATACTTGGACTGCCCTTAAGAGATCATTTCAAGACAAATGAGTGACATTGCTAACTGGTACTGTTTCCAAAACAATTACGAACTGCCACAAAGGCTAAATAATATTATACATAAGCCTAAATGTTCCAATAAAATGCCAAAGCACAAATGAACTTGGCTGATTGCACTAAGATAGCTCCTAACACCTACAGTGGCCTTTTTAAATTACTGTATTGGATATGGGGAGGATTGGGACAGGATGACACATAACAATGTACTGTGAGAGTTGCAGTACAGTTTGTGATACAAAAATGTTGTGACAGCATTCGATGAGCCATCAATAATTAGTTACTTGACCTTTCCTCTGGTTTTCATTAATTGGTCGTTATTTGGTCTGGTTAGACAAGGCTCATAAATCCGGATGTGGGGCAAAGGTCATAGCTGTTGCAAGACTAGCTACTTTGGCTAGCAGTCTATAACCACCGATAGTTCTAAAATATATTTGCTATATAACTAGAAGTAACTAGCTAGTTAGCGAGCATATCATCATGCAAGCTTTTGTAGTGGTAGCTGATACGTTGGAATGTAAGGTCATTTATGTCCTGCTTTGATATTGTACGGTAGCACTCCCACATAACAGCTCAGCGATAATTAGCTATTTGTGCAGAACATGACATCTTTGAGACAACCTTAGCTAAATACAAGCACCGAGATTGAGGCTCTCGTGCCAACAAGCTAAAACTACATGGTGAAAATAAAATAATGACCATTCGTTTTCCTTAAGAATTGGGCTATGCTAAACTAGCAAGCTACGCTATAGCTCCCTTCATACAGAACAACTAAACTCTAATCTACTCAGTTTGACCTCAGCTCCCTGCACCATGTCCACATCAAGTTATCTGTAAATCCACCTTGCAAGTGAGTGTGATGTTTTTAGCTAATCTTACCTGATAAATCGCCACGGTGAAAAGATGCGTAATGCTACAGACATGACAGTGAGGTAATTTCAGTCCAAAGTACAGTAGCAGTACATGGTTGTTCAAGACAATCCGGCGAAATAAATTCGCTATTTACAATCCAGAACCCTCCCCCTCAATTCGTTGTCTTTCACCATTGGCTAATGCTCCGTTTACATCGTGACGTATCATTACGCCGTATGTCATCTTCATGCAATCACGTTCCTCTACTGGACAGAGAGCATAAGGTCAAAGATAGGGGGCTTTTCTCAATTGCTCCCTCCTCGCGTTCTGTTTCCTCTCTCCTCGTCTCCTTCTCAAAACCCATTGGAGGAGAAGGTCAGTGGGGCGGGACCTCTGGCTTTCTCATCCAATGGGTTTTGACTGAGACCAGGAGAGAGGACACGAGATGTTACATATGGACACAGTTTCACGACAGAAGATAAAATGGAGGAGAGCTTTGTCGCTTGTCAGAAAGCTCATATATTTTGGGAGATTGCAAAATATGACATTTTCATTCATGACTGGAGAAATATATGTGGATTCTGAATCTAATGGCGGTAGAATTAAGGAGAATTGGAATATTGTCAAAAAGAAAGGGAAAACGAGCAAAGTAGAGTGCAGTGATGAGAATGTCACTTCGTATCTTGTAGGAGGAGTACGGTTTGTAAATGAGGAGCAAGCAGCTGATCGAATTACCAATCTTGAGGAATCCATTTGAGATATCCAAACTGGTGGAGAGAGTGCTGGGTAGAGTGAAGCCTGTGAGGATCACGAGAGGCGGGCTGGTTTAGATTTTTTGTGCTTCTGAGGATCAGAAGAAATGTGTGTTGTGTCTCACCCGATTTGATAAGTTTGAAGTGTCCTTTGTGTCTCTTAGGAACAGGGCACCCCTCAAGGGGGGTATATCTGGAGTCTCGTGGGAAGTAGATGTTGAAGAGATTAAAAATATTCCTGGAGTGATTGATGCACGTCGGATGAATCGTGTGGTAAATGAAGAAAAAGAGTCTCAAATCAAATCAAATTGTATTTGTCACATGCGCTGTAAGGTGTAGACCTTACAGTGAAATACTTACTTACAAGCCCTTAACCAACAATGCAGTTTTAAGAAAGAATACCCCAAAAATCACCCAAAAAAAATACAATATAAAATAATACGAGATAAAAGTAAAAAATAATTAAAAAGCAGCAGTGAAAATAACAATAGTGAGGCTATATACATGGGGTACCGGTACCGAGTAAATGTGCAGGGGCACCGGTTAGTCGAGGTAATTGAGGTAATATGTACATGTAGGTAGAGTTATTAAAGTGACTATGCATAGATAATAAACAGAGAGTAGCAGCAGCGTAAAAAGGGGGAGGGTGGGGGCAATGCAAATAGTCTGGGTAGCCATTTGATTAGATGTTCAGGAGGCTTATGGCTTGTGGGTAGAAGCTGTTTAGAAGCCTCTTGGACCTAGGCTTGGCGCTCCAGTACCGCTTGCCGTGCGGTAGCAGAGAGAACAGTCTATGACTAGGGTGGCTGGAGTCTTTGACAATTTTTAGGGCCTTCCTCTGACACCGCCTGGTATAGAGGTCCTGGATGGCAGGAAGCTTGGCCCCAGTGATGTACTGGGCCGTACGCACTACCCTCTGTAGTGCCTTGCGGTCGGAGGCCGAGCAGTTGCCATACCAGGCAGTGATGCAACCAGTCAGGATGCTCTCTATGGTGCAGCTGTAGAACCTTTTGAGGATCTGAGGACCCATGCAAAATCCTTTGAGTCTCCTTAGGGGGAATAGGTTTTGTCGTGCCCTCTTCACGACTGTCTTGGTGTGTTTGGACCGTGTTAGTTTGTTGGTGATGTGGACACCAAGGAACTTGAAGCTCTCAACCTGCTCCACTACAGCCCCGTCGATGAGAATGGGGGCGTGCTCGGTCCTCTTCTTTTTCCTGTAGTCCACAATCATCTCCTTCTTCTTGATCACGTTGAGGGAGAGGTTGTTACCCTGGCACCACATGGCCAGGTCTCTGACCTCCTCCCTATAGGCTGTCTCGTCGTTGTCGGTGATCAGGACTACCACTGTTGTGTCATCGGAAAACGTAATGATGGTATTGGAGTCGTGCCTGGCCATGCAGTCATGAGTGAACAGGGAGTACAGGAGGGGACTGAGCACGCACCCCTGAGGGGCCCCCGTGTTGAGGATCAGCGTGGCGGATGTGTTGTTACCTACCTTTACCACCTGGGGGCGGCCCGTCAGGAAGTCCAGGATCCAGTTGCAGAGGGAGGTGTTTAGTCCCAGGGTCCTTAGCTTAGTGATGAGCTTTGAGGGCACTATGGTGTTGAACGCTGAGCTGTAATCAATGAATAGCATTCTCACATAGGTGTTCCTTTTGTCAAGGTGTGAAAGGGCAGTGTGGAGCGCAATAGAGATTGCATAATCTGTGGATCTGTTGGGGTGGTATGCAAATTATAGTGGGACTAGGGTTTCTGAGATAATGGTGTTGTGAGCCATGACCAGCCTTTCAAAGCACTTCATGGCTACAGAAATGAGTGCTACGGGTCGGTAGTCATTTAGGCAGGTTATCTTAGTGTTATTGGGCACAGGGACTATGGTGGTCTGCTTGAAACATGCTGGTATTACAGACTCAGACAGGGAGAGGTTGAAAATGTCAGTAAACACACTTGCCAGTTGGTCAGCGCGTGCTCGGAGTACAGGTCCTGGTAATCCGTCTGGCCCTGCGGCCTTGTGTGAATGTTATCCTGTTTAAAGGTCTTACTCACATCGGCTACGGAGAGCGTGATCACACAGTCGTCCAGAACAGCTGATGCCCTCATGCTTGTTTCAGTGTTACTTGCCTCGAAGCGAGCACAGAAGTAATTTAGCTTATGGCCGTATACAGTTCATTGAGTGTGGTCTTAGTGCCAGCATCGGTTTGTGGTGGTAAATAGACAGCTACGAAGAATATAGATAAAGTCTCTTGGTAGATAGTGTAGTCTACAGCTTATCATGAGATACTCTACCTCAGGCGAGCAAAACCTCGAGACTTCCTTAGATATCGTGCACCAGCTGTTGTTTACAAATATACATAGAGCGCCACCCCTTGTCTTACCAGATGCTGCTGTTCTATCCTGCCGATACAGTGTGTAACCCGCCAGTTGAATGTTATTCATGTCTTCGTTCAGCCATGACTCGGTGAAACATAAGATATTCGTTTTTAATGTCCCGTTGGTAGGATATACTTGCCTGTAGTTCGTCCACTTTATTATCAAGCGATTGTAAATTGGCCAATAGTATCGATGGCAAAGGCAGATTAGCCACTTGTCGCCGGCTCCTTACCAAGCACCCTGATCTCCTTCCGCGATATCTCCTTTTCTTTCTACTTTGAATGATGGGGATGAGGGCCCTGTCGGGTGTCTGGAGCAAATCCCTCTCGTCCGACTCATTAAAGAAAAATGATTAGTCAGTTCAAGGTGAGTAATCGCTGTTCTGATGTCCAGAAGCTATTTTCGGTCATAAGAGACGGTAGCAGCAACATTATGTACAAAATAAGTTACAAACAATGTGAAAAAACACACAAAATAGCATGGTTGGTTAAGAGTCCATAAAATGGCAGCCATCCCTTCTGGCGCCATTATCACTGTTCTTTTGTTTTTTGATATGGAGTCTCTGTACACAAGTGCAGTTAGGGCAGGGTTTCCCAAACTCTGTCCTGGGGCCTCCCCTGGGTGCATGTTTACGTTTTTGCCCTAGCACTACACAGCTGATTCAAATAACCAACTCATCATCAAGCTTTGATTATTTGAATCAGCTGTGTAGTGCTAGGGCAAAACACAAAAGGTTCAGCCAGGGGGGGCCCCCGGGACCGAGCTTGGGAAACCCTGAGTTATTAACTACAGAGTCAGAGCATTTATCCCAAGACCAATGCAGGATGATCATTGTAAAGCTTTTGGTCATGTTTCAAGTGTTTGCAGAACGGAGAAGCCGAGATGTCCAAGTTGTGGAAAAGATCATATTATATGTTATAAAAGTGATGAAAATGTGACATGTTACAATTGTGGTGGGAACCATGAAGCCATGTCTTTCGAATGCCCCACAAGGGTGAAAGAGAATGAGGTGGCCAAAGTCAGGGCTATCCAGAGCATATTAAATGCAGGAGCTGTTAAAAGTGTTGAGGGTTTTAATGGTGCACTTGAAGAGTCCATGGTGGTGGATAGCCCTTCACTGCAGGCTGCAGGGGTTGCCTTTCACCAGCAGGATCCTGACATTTTACAGGTTAAAAAGGTGGACTTTGTGGCCTTTATAGCTATGGTGATAAATGGCACTGCCAAGGTGGAGAGAAGATCCAGGAAGATAGAAATCATTGTGGAAGCGGCGGAGCGGTTCCTGGGGCTGAAAGATTTCTCAGCGAAGGAGTTACATGGAATATTGTCACAAGCCGTACCACCCTCTCAGGCCCTAGAGCCTGAGAAGGGAAATATGGAGAATTGAAAGAAGGAAGAAGTCTGAGTTTTGTTTTGTTTTGTCAATGTACTGTTTTTATTTGGGTGGATTAAGTTAGTTTCCCTATCACGTATAGATTTTCTTTTTTTATCTTGTTTTGGTTTCAACCCGTCCAGTTGGTGGCGGCAATACACCTTTTGGGTTGTAGTCCGCCATAAAACCCACAGAAGAGGAAGAAGAAACATATTGGGCGTGTTTGGGCTGGTCACTTTTGTCAAGACGTTGACCGTCGTTCGTCACTGCATTTCAAATTGTGATGCATAATCTTGCAACTACATGTCGACTGCATGAAGAACTTTACAAAAATCATGTGATCAAAGGTCATGCAGTTTTTGATGAAGCTGCAGTTGCTTCTCATCAACTGCACTATGCAGCCGTCACCTGTCATCATCAACTTGTTTCTCTGACCGAGGTTGAAGATACTGTAGTTAGCCACCTCCACTTAATAATTATCATAAAAAACAAATGTCATTACCATCATAATAAACTAAAGTGGGAGGCAACAGTCATAAAGTGGCTTAAAACCCCCTAGAGTTGATGTCCGCGGAAATCTAATTAGCTAGAGAATTTGTGTTTTTTTTTGCAATCCACTGCATTGGCCGATGTCAGCCTTCTACAGCTGCTGTGGAATGTAGCAGAGATACAGCGGTGAT